GGGAGCTCTGGTGGCCTAGTGACAAGAAGCTGCACTGCAATCCCAGAGGAACACGGTTCGAATCCACCAGACGCTCTGCCGGAGAAGGAGGCGCAATATCCTCCTGTACCAGTCAGATCTGATTTGACGGTACATGCACACAAAATAATAATAATAATAAAAATCTGAGTGTTTGCATATGCTTTTTAAAAATACACATTTAATCAACCGAGTGTGTACATGTCATTTTAATGGCATCATGTATTCATACACTGATGATAATATTTGTTTAGATATTGCTCTTTTGGGCATCAAGGAGGTTTCTGATCATTCTGGTATTAATCATCATTCAGGTAACATTTTAGAAATACTGAAGTTGCGAGGAAAATAAACATTAGCTTTTGAGCTAGGATGAGGGGATCTGGACCAGGAAGGAGTTGAAATACATGCAACAGTGTTCATACCTTTGGGAGGGGAAATTTGGTCAATGACTTGGTTTCCTCATTTATGTATTTACCCCTTAGGCCTTTGTTTCTAGGGTATTTTGGAATTTTTATACTTTCTCAGCTGGTGGGTATGGGATGTCATTTTGGGTTGTTTTTATTTTATTTGGGGGATCATTTTGAATGACGGCCACTTTCTGTCTGATAAAGGTGCTGTTGTCAAGACAAATGCTAATGCAGAGAAGACAGATGAAGAAGAGAAAGGTAACCACCTTTGTGAAGCTTTGTAAGCCAGGGTCTACATTTTGAGAGAATTGCTTTTATAAGGTGGTTTTCTTCACTTCTGACATACTTGAAGTCACAGTGTGAAAGGTCTGCATAAGCAGGAAGTAGGTGAATTCTGTTGATGTCTCTGTAGGTAAGATGAACTTCAACAGTGGCAGGAAATATTCCCCCAGAGCATTGCAAAAGAAGCGCTAAGGTGCTTCAAGTTTATACTGAATATCGATTTGAGAGTAAATCTCAGTCCAGAGAGAAGAAATAGGTGAATTTCAGAAAAGGAGAGTTAGAATAGAGTTCTGGGAAGGATTGATGCCATTCTAATTTGTGTATCAATGTTTCTTTTACAAAATGTGTTTAGGGGAGGGAACAACCTGGAAAAGAAGGGTGAGAATGGGGTCACATCTTGGAGAAAGTGATCAGTGCCTGAATTGCACATGAAGTTGTTGAACTCCTGTGTCCTGTGGTGCATCTCCTCAGTGACAGCAATAAACTATTCAAAAATGGTATTAGATTTAAATGGAGCAGACATGCATCTCCTTGTCAGCTGAAAAGAACCCAAAGCATATTATTAATTACTATAGCATTCAAATCTGTGACCAACTTTAATTAGCTGGCCTAATCAAAGTATACATTACTTAAAAATGCAATGGTAATTGAAGTCAGGTAAGTTCCTGGATTTTTAAAAACCATTGTTCCCCCTGACAGAGGACAGAGCCGCCCAGTCCTTACTCAACAAGCTGATCAGGAGCAACCTCGTGGACAACACAAACCAAGTGGAAGTCCTGCAGCGGGACCCCAGCTCCCCCCTCTACTCGGTGAAGTCTTTCGAAGAGCTCCGACTGTGAGTACTTGGTTGCTTCCTGGGATTCTCTTTTGCATGTACATAGAGAACCAACCCTGTTTTAGGAGCCCTGGTGGCTCGGTGGTTAAAGTGCTGTGCTGTGGACCAGAATGTCTGCAGCTCACACTCAGCCACCCCACGTGACCCCCACAGGAGAAAGATGTGGTTGGTAGTCAGTTTCTGGAAGGTTCTCTGCTTGGGAGCTACGGGACACTTCAGCCTTGTCCTGGAGGTTTGCTGTCAGTCACAGTTGCCTTGATGGCAGTGGGTAGAGGTTTAAGCGGGTTATATATTTTTACATGACAGTTGACCTTTTTTGGCTACTACAAGTCTAGCAGAAGAATCTAGCAAGTCCAGAATTTCCAGGTAACCCCAAGTAGCTTTAGCTGCAGTGATGCATTAAGCTCATTTCAACATGTATATGACTTGAATATGGTTGGTTGAAAACTCTGTAACAAGCAATGAAAGTGACAAAATCCCTTAGGAATTTCCCTTCTCCTCAACTAAAACCCTGTGACTCCTCTTTAACTTTTTCTAGGAAACCACAGCTTCTGCAGGGAGTCTATGCCATGGGCTTCAACCGTCCCTCCAAGATACAGGAGAACGCACTGCCTTTGATGCTGGCTGAACCGTATGTATTATCAGTACAACTCTTCTGTGTGTAAAACTTTACCATTTAAGAAAAGTTATACTAATAAATGCTTATTTTAGAAAACGGAAAAATCTATCATCTCCCTCCCATAGGCACTTCTAACATTTTGGGAGTAGTTGTTGTTATGTGCCGTCGAGTCACTTGCGACTCAAAGCAATCCTATGTGTACAGCAGCCCTAAACTCCGCTCTGTCCTGTGCCAATCACACTTGTCTCCAACACACCCATCCCGATTATCCCAGTCACTGAATCAATCCACCTCATAGAGGGTCTTCCCCTCCTGCGCTGTCCCTCTACTCTACCAAGCATGATGTCCCTCCCCAAGGACCGGTCCCTCCTTACAACAAAAGTATGTCAGATGAAGCCTCAGGATCCTTGCCTCCAGGGAGCCACCCGGTTTAACCCTTTGCAGGATTGATCTGTTTGTTTTCTTAGCAGTCCTTGGTACATTTAATACTCTTCTCCAGCACCACAGCTCAAAGGCATCAGTACTCTGCTAAATGTTTTATATATAACTCGTGTGTATGTGTGTGTACACTATCTGATTGGATCTGACTGGTACAGGAAGATTGCCCCTCCTTCTGCAATGGAGTATCTGGTGGTTTCACACTGTGCACCTTGGGGATTGCAGTGCAGCTTCTTGTCAGTAGGCCACCAGAACTCCCTTATACATAACTTATACAATTTGAAATTTCATTTATTCTTTGACTTGTCAGTAAGTAAAGCTGTATAGCATTTGAACACTTCTATGAACGTTAATTTTATTTATGAGGGCAGGCACACAGCAAGGCTCCCAGGGTCCTGACCAGCATAGGACTTAGTTTCTGCTCCTGTCATTTTCTCGTTCTATGCTTCTTAAACGTAGTGGGCGTCTGACCCTTGCAGGAATTTATTCCAGTGGACCGTCTGATTCTTACTCTAGTAATCTTCCAGGTGATGCAGACGCACCTGGTTTCAGACCTCATTTAGTGCAGTAATAAGGTTCTAAATGAGGAACTCTTTAAAAGAATCAATGTTTGATCAAGTTGGAATATTTTTGTGGTACTGCAATCCCAAAGGTGCACGGTTCGAATCCACCAGATGCTCTGCCGGAGAAGGAGGGACAATTTCCTCCTGTACCAGTCAGATCTGATTTGACAGTACATGCACAAAAAATAATAAATATTAAAAAAATATATATTTGCATAAAATCTTAAGTATTGAAGTTTATTTTCTATTTTAAAATAGGTATTTTAGATATAGTTTTTCAATGTTTGTTTTGTGTCAGAACAGTGACTTTTTCAAGATAAGTGATAGCTCTTTACTTTGGGACTTTGAGCATATGTAAAGTTAAATAGAATGTTTGTTAGATTGTTGCTCACTGACCATTTGAATTTCTGTGGATGCTTTCTCAGAAACTCATCTTTAAATTGACAGTGCTAGCTAAGTCCTAACCAAAACCAATCAAGTGACTCGAGTAGGAGATCATCAAATATGTGGTCTGAGCAAAGACTGTCAGGAGTGGGAGGGAGTTATAGGCTGTTGATTAGGGACAGTTCTAGGCAGTGGGGCAGAAACCTGAGGCTAGAGAACACTGACTTATTTTGGGAGCAGAATTCGGGCCCTTGTGACTGAGTGAAGGAGTTAGAGGACAGGGGCAGAAGGGAGCAGCAAGAACAGGTTGAACCATATAGGCCATCAGAAGCATTTGAACTTGTACGTTGAGTGCACTGAGAAATGACTGGCAGCATTTTGAGCAGAGGGAGTGACATGAGCTGACTCCTGACTCCTATTTTAAAAGTTTCGCTTTGACTGTCGTGTTGCAAATAGACAATTCCGATCTACCATGAAATCTCTGTAGTGGTGTGTCCTTGTGTCACAAGCATGTATCTGCTGTGGAACCCTGGCTCTCCCTCTAGAAGTGAATTTTGGTTATGCTTTATTCTTCAGTCTTGTTACGCAAAAGCCTGTTTGAGAGTTAAGTTCCTGAACAGCTGCTTTCTTGTGCAGCCCGCAGAACCTGATCGCACAGTCTCAGTCGGGTACTGGCAAAACTGCTGCCTTTGTGTTGGCCATGCTCAGCCACGTGGAACCCACAAACAGGTACCCTCAGGTAAGGATTCATGACTGTGGGCTTTCTGCTAACCTGTACGTGGATGGGGGATTCTGTTAGATGGATTAAAGGTTAGCTCTGTATTATTTTTTACATAAACTAGAACCTTGCAAGTCGAACCCAAGCAACATGGTTGATTTTCTAGTAACAGTAGTCTTGTTCCCTTTCCATGGTTGGCCAGCTTGAAGACAGTGCTGACAGGCAAGAATGTCTCCTTCATGCACTAGAACGTCTCCTTCATGCACTAGAACTTTCTGAGTAGGTCATAAAAGTTGCTGATCTCCAAGTGGAGTGGAATTGGTGGATCTTTGCTCCCATGAGGTTTTTGTACTCCAGTGCCAGTAGCTGTTTTCAGGTGTCTTTACCACAGTGGGAGTTGTGACCCTAAGAGCCGCACCCTAAGAATTGAGGCACTTTGTGATTCACATAATCTCTGCTTGCATCAACAGCAAGTCCTGAACTCTCACTCTGCCCTTTCTCCCCAACAGTGTCTATGCCTCTCCCCCACCTACGAGCTCGCCCTTCAAACAGGAAAAGTGATTGAGCAGATGGGCAAGTTTTACCCTGAACTGAAGCTGGCTTACGCGGTTCGAGGCAATAAATGTGAGCTTACGTATCACATCTTAACCTTGAATCTAACTTTACCATGTTATTGTTGAACTTTTTGAAAGTAATGTCGTGGCCCTTTGTCCCTAACTGCTTTAGCGTGCATCTCCTATTAGGGTATTCTTGAGGATACCTGAGAACATGGTTCTAAGCCATCTGGTGAAACTAGTCTAATGACTAAGCCTTTTTAAAGGGGGGAAATTGATGCACAGTGTTTTGCAGAAGAAAGAACACTGTCCTTTGTAATTGACAGCATGCTTTCCAGTGAGACAGAGTCAGAGCTTTTACTTGAAGAATCTCTGACACATCAGGAGTGGCTTGCTGCCAGACCCAGATACTGCGACTTGATGACTGGCTGCTGCTCCGTAAACTCTGGCAGCAGTGTGAATCCTGGTTAGGAAGGGTAGTTATTTGCTAATTAAATTGCCCTCCTCTGAGTAGGGTTTAGCCACCATTTTCTGAACATACCCAAGAACAGCCTCATGACTGTAATCATGAACTCTAGAATACTGGAACTGGAGTATGATGCCGTCCTTATCCTCCGAGAGCAGTCTGGAAAGCTCCCGTCCTCAGAATCCTAGGGAAGTCCTCTTCGTTCTCAACTCCTGCGTGATCTTAAGAAAGTCTTGCTCACTGGCTTGAGTCTTAGGGAGCACCATACGTGTAATACTGTTATCACAACCCCTCGAAACTATGCCCCATTCTCTAATACCTGGTCCATTTTCATCCCACCCCCATCCTACTCCATACCATCCCAACGGTTATTCTAGCTATTTTGCACCAAAATGAGTGTTCATACATTACATGTGGTGATTGTGTCTCTAGCTTTGTTTTAATCCAAATGATCTCCCCACCTTTTCCCTTTGTTATATTTCACTTTTGGAATAGACTAGTCTACTTGCTTAGTAAATGTTTCGTATTTTGGATGTGCTTGTGAAACATCTTTTAAATGTCAAAAACCTGCAAGTTCACGGTGGATAATTTATAAAATGTTCCTGGAAGGTTATGTGAACCTCAGGGATCTTTCGACTTGATGACTCCTTGGAATCAATTCTGCATGTAATGTCCTAATGTAAACTTGAAGTCCCTTCAGGAAAGATAAAAAAAAGATTATAAATTGGTTGGGAGATAATCACAAGACATTCAGAACTTTGCTGTTTATAATTGCGTTAAAAGGACAATTCTGAGCTAAGTGTGTGCAGAGTAATTGATTTAAGATGTTACTGCAAATGACAGTAATACATGGGGGGGATGTGTTTCTAAGCACGGTCATCAATTTAAAAGTGTGTGGCAACGTGTTAACTGAATTCAGAAGCAGCGTTACTTGTTAGCTTTGCATTTCACTCAACCTTTAGAGTTTGCTTAATTTTTTACTGACTAGAAGGATCTTGTATCTATTCAAAGTTATAAGTCCTAAAGGAGTCAGAAGTGAATCAGTGTCAACCAACTGCCTGGAAATAGTTGAATGATGACATCCCCATCACAGAGTAGGTTGTTTCCTGTTCAGGACCACACAGGGCGGGTACTGCTTAGGGGTAACCAGGCCTTGTCTGGGGGAAAACATTGTTTAAAGGGGAAGCAATGTGTGTTGATTTCAGCAGATAAAAATCTGTTAAAACAGTAGGTCCTGCTTAAGCAGTTGGTAGGGGAGGACTCATGTGGAATAGATAGCAGCATATTTGAATGAACAGAGTGCTTTGAAGAACTAAGAACTTTGAAAACTCTACTTTGAAGGATGTAAAATCCAGCCTAGGTGGAACAGTATTGCCAGGAATCAAGCTGGCAGACAGTCCAAAGAGAATTAGCCTACTATAGAGCAAAAGAATGATACATACAAGAATGTTTTATGTTTCATTTTCATTGGGTTTTTTATCTTATCTGCATCTTTTAAGCATTTTTGTCCATAGACTATTGATACTTTAATCTTCAAAATATTAATGTGAACATCAAAATAGTTCTATTAAAATAACATGGCTTTAGGATTTCTGAGAGGAAACTTGACTTTCCCATGGATCAAGCATAGAACACGTCTTGTCTCCACAGTGGAACGAGGTCAGAAGATCAGTGAGCAGATTGTCATTGGCACCCCGGGGACGGTCCTGGACTGGTGCGCCAAGCTCAGGTTCATCGACCCCAAGAAGATCAAGGTGTTTGTCCTGGATGAGGCTGACGTGATGATAGCAACCCAGGGTTACCAAGACCAGAGCATCCGCATCCAGAGGTAGGAGCTGTGGCAGTGGGGAGGGTTACTCCTCTGACTCCCGGCTCCCGTCGCTCCGTCTCCTTTGCTCCTCTTTCCTCTGGTGCTTTCAGGAGCATTTCCCTGTCAGCACTGCCCACGCCCCCAGGCCCACCACCTCCTCCCTGTGATGCCCGCTCCCTGTTGCCTCTGGAGGTGGGGAGGCCGTGCTCCTGTTTCTCCGAGGGAAAAGCTCAGGGTTGTGCAAACACCTGAGCCTTGCCTTGCAGGATGCTGCCCAGAAACTGCCAGATGCTGCTTTTCTCTGCCACCTTTGAAGACTCCGTGTGGAATTTTGCCCAGAAAGTGGTCCCGGAGCCGAACATCATCAAACTGAAGCGTGAGGAGGAGACGCTGGACACCATCAAGCAGTATTACGTCCTGTGCAACAACAGAGAGGAGAAGTTCCAGGCCCTGTGTAACCTGTACGGGGCCATCACCATCGCCCAGGCCATCATCTTCTGCCACGTGAGTAGCAGTAGCAGCCGCCCCCATGTGCCAGGGAAGACCTGCCCCGCGCAGTGGTGCCGTGGCTGTGCTCTTCCTCTTCTCCACTTTGTTTTATATTGGTTGACAGACATCTTGAAGAATCTAGGCTGGCTCAGAATTTCTGTTATTTCCCTCTGTCTCAGTTCTGTTCAGGATAAATGTCTTTGTGAGATTACGGAGCCAGTGACATCCTATCCCATTGCCCCCTGTCAGCTGTCTCATCATTGGTGCCCTCAGATCATTCCACTGAAAAGGGGCTCTGCGTCCACTGATATATTGTTGAGTGAAACAGCCCAGGAAGAATTGAGCAATTTTAGGATACTTGTCCTTTAGCCGCTTAGTTTCTGATCGAGCTCTCCAGATAAAAACTAGATTCTGCAGGGATCTTCACTTATGTTTTTCACTCCAGACCCGCAAGACCGCTAGTTGGTTGGCAGCCGAGCTCTCAAGAGAAGGCCACCAGGTGGCTCTGCTGAGCGGCGAGATGGTGGTGGAGCAGAGAGCAGCGGTGATCGAGCGCTTCCGGGAGGGCAAGGAGAAGGTTCTGGTCACCACCAACGTGTGTGCCCGTGGTGAGCAGGAGGGCCCTGGTCTGCCAGTCCTTATATGCAGGAGACTCAGATGGCCACGGGGGGACTGTGGGCAGTGACATCGATTCCCCGGGAGCCCGCAATGCCGGCTGGGTAGAGCAGAGGTGGGGCCCGCCCTCCCCGGAGCACCAAGGAGCTCGTAGCTGCGTCACCAGATCCTGTATCAGCCCATCTTCCTCACTGATCCCATCATTTGACAGCCCTGGTCAGCGTCCTGGCTGTGGCCGAGCCCCAGAGTTGACCATCCCACACTCCTCCCTGCCCGGAGTTGTGTCTTTGCCTACTCAAGAGTTCCTCTGTGCCAACTCTCCTGCTCACAGGTATCGATGTGGAACAGGTATCTGTCGTCATCAACTTTGACCTGCCCGTGGACAAGGACGGGAACCCAGACAACGAGACCTACCTGCACCGGATCGGGCGCACCGGCCGCTTTGGCAAGAGGGGCCTGGCCGTGAACATGGTGGACAGCAAGCACAGCATGAACATCCTCAACAGGATCCAGGAGCACTTTAGTGAGTGTCTGCAGTGGCCTCTGCCCAGGGACGGGGGAGAGGGGTTCCCTGTGATCCCCTTTGTTCCCCGACAACCTCCCACCTTTCCTAAGATAGGGACCTTCTCATAGCCCACCCCTGGAGAACTCAGGGCTCAGGGCTTTGCCTGGACGACCCTTAGTGACCAGGCTGAGGGGCCTGGTTCTGACTTGGGGTGTCCAGTCGTCCCTTCTGGGGCTGGGCTTGCAGGCCTGTGGTGTCCAGTGGAGGATGGCTGTGGCCGGAGGTGTGCAGAGAGCCATGTCTGTCCTCCTGTGCACTGTCCCTGCCCTGAAGGGGACTTCAGCTGTGTCTCCACAGTAACCGTGTGTTGACGCCTCTGCATCTTCTTCCCCAGATAAGAAGATAGAAAGACTGGACACAGACGACTTGGATGAGATTGAGAAAATCGCCAACTGAGAGGCTGGGCGGGAGCGGTGCTCATCCTTGGCACTCCTGGCTCGGGGGACGGTGCTTCCAGGGCCCGAGCTCATGGCCACCGCAAGGCGGTGTGGAAGAAAACTACCTACCTCACTTCAAATTAAGTTTGGACTTGACCAAAAAAAATTGTGCATATGATGGGGGAAGGTAGAACAAAATTGTTTACACAACTTTTCAAGATTAGGCGTGAATACACAGAAATTTACTTTTTGGAAATCATGTCTTTTTTCCCCCCAGTTCTCCCATCGCTGTGCTGCTCTGGCTGCTGGGGTTCATCGGTGCCCCAGGAACCTTTGGCAGCCCCGGGCTGGTTCCTTGTTAGAATGTGCAGACCAAAAAAAAATAAAAAAATTAAACAAGAATGTGCAGACCATCCTCCATCATCCCTTGTGGAGGTGACTGAATAGAGGCCCCAGAGGGGACAGGTATACGCCCAGCATATGTTCGGCGTGTCGAGTGAGGCAGTAGCTCTGGAGCTGGCGTGGGATCCCTTGTCTGCGCTGTTGCCAGGCCTCCTCTCCTGAGGATCCAGCAGGAATGGCTTTGGTAAGCCTGTACCAATGTGCCAATACCTGACTTGTATTATGCACAGGTGTGTGTCTCAGGACCATGACCAGCTCTTCTTATGCAGGTGTCCTGCACATAGAGCACACGGGATTGGTTCTTAGTGGGCCCTTTACTTGACATTTACACAGGTGCTGGGAGAAGTCACCACGGAGCATTAGAGGTGGCCTTAGCTGGTCCTGACACATACTCTTGCAGGCACTGCTGCAACCTCTTTTTACATCCTGAATGTCACTGTGACCCCTTAGTTGCCCTATGCAAAAGAAAGGTTGTCTGAAGCCTGACTTTTTAACAATCAGCAGTGTTCTCACATCCATGCTGTCTCAGATTCCAGAAGACTGTGTCCTGATGTCACTCTGAAGAATGATTTCAGATATTAAGCGCCCTGATTGTGAACACAGCCGTTGAAGCGCTTCAGTGTCTGGCATATAAACACGTGCAACTAAGGAACCATGTAGATGGCAACCCTTCGTCTGTCCAAGGCAAGAGTAAACACCAAGGCCTGTGCTCCATCCTTATTTAGCATCGTCATGCACAATAGAGCAAAGAGTAATGGCCATGTCCTCCTATCTGGCCACAGCTACTGGTGCTTACAGAGTCAGCAGAGGTGAGAGAAACCTTGGCCAAAGAGCAGTGTGAAAGCCCCGCTGAAGAGCCAGGCCTCAGCCCTGTAACTGATTCAGAATGGCTGCTTTATCCAGGACCACAAGCAGAAGAGGGATTCTGTGCTGAGAACCACTCAGACCAACCTTTTTGCTGTTTTAAGACAGAACTATCTCCTGGAAGGGGAGGGGGTTGCAGCCAGCCTCCTAGTGATTTGCTTAGCCTCATGATACAGGTGCTATCAAGATACTCGCAGACCGCCAGTTCTGCCTCCTTCACCTGCGGCCACCTGGCTGCATACAGTCTCCTCTGTGCTGGTCAGCTCTGACCACCTTAAGACATGCTGCCCCTAAGTCCTGCAGACTGACTGACACAACACAGACAGGAAGAGCAATAAAGAAAAGAAGTATAGACTTGTTACTAGGCTGTGGCTGCCTACAGGCACCCCACAACACCACCTGTCTGCTCTTCCACTGGAGAACAAAATTGAGTAAGAGGATGTTCCACACGCTCCAAAAGCAGAAGCAAACAGGTATCCCAGGAAAATGTCCAGCAGTTTTTTTTAACCTGGGGTCTTGGGCTCATGAGAATTCATAGGATGGGTTTCATGGTCTCTCTAAAGTATATTTCCGTCTTTCAAGTTGGGTTTTTATTTTTGGTGGGTTTTTTTTAAGTTTTCCTCATGCAAGGCTTCCATGAATAATAAAATTTAGAGGCAGGAGGGAAGTGTACAGCTATAACCTACTTATGCAGGGCTGCCAAGAGGTGGAATAACCTCAGTGGCATACAGCCAGTAGGATAAGAACAGAAAACCTAAATGGCTATAATGCTTTGTTGGCTTAATTTCCACATTAGAACATTATCAGAGAAAATAGGGCTTCCATTTATTTAAAGCAGTATTGTGTTGGTGATCTTGGAAGATTTATTTTGATGACTTTGTACTAAAGCATAATGTAAAAGAAAAATGTACCTAAACCCTTTCCCCAAAAAGGTGAGACTTGTTGCCCCTACTGTAGATGGCTCTGCTGTCAGTGCTCTTCATCCTTCACAGTGACTGCCCGTGTCTGGCTCCTGGAGCTCAGAAGCCCCCTTGATTCCTTGGCAGGCTCAGGTTCTCAGAGAATTGTTCTTTACTTTGTAAGTAAACGCCCACGTATGAAATGAGAACGTGTCCTGGGAAAGGACGTTCTGGGAAAGTGGAAACTTCTGGACGGGTTCATTATCCATAACAATTCTTTTTTCTTTTTTTTTTTGAGTGTCATTTACTGGTTGTAAGCAGGGAACCAATGAGGTTAGTTAAGAACTAACCAGTATGGATGTTTTCTTTGTTGATGCTGACTGAATGGTGATGAAACGTTCACCTTTCTAAGGTTTAATTAGGAAGAGAAACATGTTTTTGGTTACTGATAAGAATATAGTGAAGACTCACATATGGTTTGCGTAGGCTGGTTATCACTTGATGTTGCTATTTCAAGGTTGGCATTACTGCAGCTTGAGCAGCTGCAATGTCAAGGCCAGCGGTCCTGTTCTGTTGCTAGAGAGTTCCTAAAAAAATTTTCCCCCTGATAAATCAGAATGCTGGCTCACTCTCTGGAGAAAATAAATAAAAAGATAGATGCTAGCAAATATGAAGTCTTCATGTTTTCTTTGTCTAGTCTACAGCTAGGGAAGCAGTATAAACTTAAAAGAGGAGTTCTTTTGTGCAACCAAAAAAGAAAAGATAACTTCTCGCCCTTGGTTGCTTCCATCCCTTGTTATATGAAGGGTACCCTGAACAGTGTCACTGAGATTTAGAGGAAAAGAGCTTATGAAGTTATAAAAGTTTACTGAGAGAATGAACTTGGCTTATGCTGTGAAAATGGTGACAAAAAGTGGTCTTGGAAAAGGAAAGCAGTAAAACTGCAGGGAGTTCTCCAGGATGTGTCAGAGTAGTGAGGAGAGCAGCCTGGATACACTACGTAGACTAAGATATGCCTACTTGGCATTTGGATTTAGAAGTAAATCGTCACAGATGTAGTTACAGCTTTCTGTTACAGAAAGTCACTGACAAAAATGTTTTAAGGGAAATTTGATCAGCCTCACTCTGGTGGCAACCATGGGCCACTTACGGCGCATGGTAACAGATGTGCAGGATAGACTGAAGGTAGAAAAGGCTGGTACGGATCTCATCTGTAGGATTTTCAAATCTTATCATTTCACTGACTTGAAAACAAGTAACTGGCATCTGGAACGCAAAAGTGGGAGAAAAAATTGACTGACAGAAAATATGGACCTGAAGATAGAAGTGAGGATGGAGATGGAATGACTGATTTTTTGTACAGTCAATACCTTTTAAAAAAAAAAAAAAACGTCAGCTATACACATGGACCTCACCTCAAGGACTACATGAAAATCAGATTGACTACAACTGTGGAAAAAGTTGGAGAAGCTCCTTCTCAGAAGTCAAAATCAGGCCAGGTGCTAACTGTGGAACAGACTTAAGGTGCTCATTTGTGCAAGTTCAGATTGAATCTGAAGAAAATTAAAATAAACCCACAAGAGCCAAAAATACCTTATGCCTATCTTACTTGAATTCAAACACCATCTCAAGAACAGGATTGAAGCATTAAACACTGTTGTTGTTGTTAAGTGCCGTCGAGTCACAGGTGACTCACAGTGACCCTATGAAGGAGAGTCCTCGACGCTTGGGTGCCTTTCATCCTCTCTTCAGGTTCATAGGGTTTCCGGAGGCAAGCTATTAAACTCTACTGATGAAAAACCAGATTGGTAGGATGACATCAAGGATACCATCCAGTAAACAAAAGGATTATTTAAAAAACTGGGGGAAAGGACTTTAAATGGATGCTGGAAGTGACAGAAAACTACACAGTAATGTCAAGAGGCCAAAATAAATGGAAGAAAGGCTGAAATAAAAGATGAACAGAAAATTTCACAGAGCAGCTTAAAAAGATAAAGTATTAGAACAAAATGTACAAAGAACTGGAGTTAGTAAATAAAAAGGAAAGAACTAGGCATTTCTGAGCTGAACTAAAAAAAATTCAACCTCAGGTTGCAACACCTGAAGGATGAGCAAAATCTTAAATGGTCCAGGAAGCATCCAAAGAAAGTGGCTAGGATACACAGTCACTACCAAAAAGAACTGGTATATGATCTAGAACCGGTAGTGATGAAGAAGTAAGAAGTTCAAGCTGTACTGGAGGCATTAGCTGACAAGGTCCCAGAAATTGATAATAGCAGTTGACATAAACAGCTATGGAAGTGCTGGCCAGGTTATGTTACGAAATTTGGAAGACAGCTACCTGACAAACTAACTGGAAGAGATCCGTATTCCCATTTCCAAAAAAGGTGATCCAGCAGAATGTGGAAAATACTGAACAGAATCATTACTATGACAGAAATAAAATCTTTCTGAAGATTACATAAAAATGGCTGGAACAGTACATTGGCAGGGAACTGCCAGAAATCCAAGCTGGATTTTAGAAGAGGCCAGGGCACAAGGGATATCATTGCTGATGTCAAGGGGATTGTGGCAGAAAGCAGAGAATACCAGAAAGCTATTAATTTATTGGCTATGGAAGGCATTTGACTTTGTGGATCGTTACAAACTATGGCTAACAGAAGAATGGGAGTCCCAAAACAATTATGCTCATTCAGTATTTAGACCAAGAGGCTGTTGGGCAAGTTGGAGCGGACCCATAGCTGGCCCTCCAGCCGGTTTTCAGAGCCAGTTTAACTGCAGTGGAGACTGCTCAAACTTCAATTTGTCAGCTGGTGGATTTGAACCACATACCTTTGAGATTACATTGTAACTTCTTACCACTAGGCCACCAGAGCTCCCTAAGGGGAAATTTAGTCTTTGGAAAAAGACGAGCTTTGAAAGGCTGAGGGTCAGGAAAAGGAAAGACCTTCAACAAGGTAGATCAGCACAGTGACTATCACTGGGGTCAAGTATATCAGATGATGGTGGTGTAGAAGGCAGGGTTTAGATCTGTTATTCACAGGGTCACCAGGAGTTAACAGCACCTAACAACAAAATATTTTTTGTTATT